GTGTCATTTGAGAAACATTAGAAACAACTTGCTTTTCATGCATTTATCATTATCTGTGAATTTACCCTGGTACTAGAAACTTCCTAAGTTTTCAAAGAGAAAAGCAAATGTTTGGCCTTTGTAACTGACCAGTGCCACCCTGTCCTGAGACTAATGCACTTAAAGTATGCAGCCCTAGTATACTGCCAGCTTTTCTATACTGGGGTCTCTAAGAAGCTAATGAATAGCTGCAGGTTGTGAAAAAATAAAGAATTAAATAGAAAAGGCATGGGAGGCCAAAATGTCCCCCTTTTTTTTAGATCAAGTTAGTTAGAGGTGGTAGCTTAGTGTGTGGCAGGCTTACTTGCTAATCATGGCAGTCCTGGCCTGGGGCAAGCCTGTCCACAAGAGGAATGGAAGGAGAGAGCTAAAGTAAGATTTTCAGCATGAGTGGCATAGGAGAACTTCTGCTCCCTGCCAGAAGCTTGTTCCCAAGAGGAAGGAGAAGAGACAAGTCAAACAAGGCCAGTTTCTCCTTCCCATATTTTTCAATTAGAAAAATAATTCCCTCCTCCTAGATCTCAGAGCAGAAGTTCCCCTAAATAAGCTTCTATCACATGGAAGGAGATATCCAGAGTAAGGAAGAATTGTGCCTCAAAACTGAGGACCCTGAGACCCTGTGGTAGATAGGCTTGAAGGCACGCACCATGTCATGATTAGGTTGAGGTGCCAGTGGTGGTGAAGGTGGTTGGAAGTGTGAAGTCCAGCCCAGGTTTAGGGCTAGTTTAGCAAAGTAGGAGCTATCATTATCAATTTGTTAATTATGACACTGTGGCTTAATAAACTGACATAACAGTGGTTAAAACTCATTTTATAAATTGAAAAACTGAACAAACCAATAAGATTGCAAGGAAATGATTTCCTTTAGCTGTATTAGTTTGCCATGGCTGTCATAACAAGTTACTACAAAGAGGATAGCTTCAATAATAGAAATGTATTGTCTCACTGTTGTCGTTAGGTGCCGTTGAGTTGGCTCCAACTCGTAGCAACCCTATGTACAACAAAACTAAACACGGCCCAGTCCTGTGCCATCCTGACAATCCTTGCTATACTTGATCCCATCGTTGCAGCCACTGTGTCAATCCATCTTGTTGAGGCTCTCCCCCTATTCCGCTGGCCTTCCACTTTAATGAGCATGATATCCTTCTCCAGGGAATGGTCCCTTCTATTGTTTCACTGTCCTAGAGGTTAAAAGTCCAAATTCAGAGAGAGTCTAGGAGATCTTTTCTTCTCTCTTCCAAGTTTCTGGTAGCCCCACATGCTCCTTGGCTCCAGGCAACTTAACTTCAATCTCTATCTCTATCTTTATATGGCTATCTTTCCTCTGTATCTGTCTGTCTGTGTTCTTCTCTTTTTTATAAGGAAACCAGTGGTTCATGGACCACTATTTACATCTATAAGGAGCTCTGGTGGGTAGTGCATAAGGCATTTGACTGCTAACCAGAAGGCTGGAGGTTCAAACCCACCAGCCAGTCCTCTGAAAGAAGATTGATCAATCTCCATCCTTAATGATATCGACTCAGAAACCTAAGGAGGTATTGCCATGAGTCAGATCCTACTCAATGGCAGTGAAGTTTTTTTGTTTGTTTTTGGTAATTACATCTGTAAAGACCCTATTTCCAAATAAGAATACATTCACAGGTACCAGAGTTAGGCTTGAACATATCTTCTGAAGGACACAATTCAACCCATAACACTAGCCAACATAGATAGGCCAAAGCTACAGATAGTGAAATATTAGCAGCCTAAGAACCCAACATAGTGAGAAGATATGAGGAAGGGAAACTAACAATAAATGACCCTTTTACTGCTGGTTATCTGTCTCTCCTTTTGTCTCAATGGGTGGCATTATCCAGAGTCCCGAGCCAGAAACATTTGCCACTCTTTCTCCTTTCCCTCACCCTTCACATCTAGTCCATTGCTACTTTTGTTGATTCTGAGGCCCATGTCTCTCAAATCTGTCTACTCCCTTCCATTCCCTTTGTCAGAGTTCTAATGCAGACCCTCTCTGCTTTACTTCCTTTCTCACTGCCGTCGAGTCATTTCCCACTCATAGTGACCCCTCCTTGGTTTTCCAAGGAGGTATCTCTATGAAAATAGATTGCCCAACCTTCCTTCCAAGGAGTGTCTGGTGAGTTTGAACCACCAGACTTCTGGTTAGTAGTCAAATGCCTTGGGCACTACACCATCAGAACGACCTACTTTACTTTAGCAGCCTCCAAATGCATCTGCCTGCCTTTGTAAAGGAGGAAATGGAAACTATGTAACTTCCACTGTTCTCAAAAGAGTATTAGACTCTTTTGAGAACAGTCTAGAGTTGAGCTCAGGTCTACCAAATTCTGAAACTAAGCTCTTAATGTTTATTCTATGGCCCATCCCTATGAAATACCATCCATCACCAACAACAACATTACTGCCACAAATAATCACATTCTTCTTTGAACTAATGTGCTCTAAATGATTTATATATAATTCATCATAGAGTGATAGAATTTTAAATGGAATCTTGATGATCTTTTTAAGTTAAGTCCTTCTTTTAAAAGATAAGAAAGAAAAGGCTCAAATTGGTACAGCTACCTGCCCAGGCCCCACTTCTTATTAAGAGCAGAGTCTAAATCAGACCCCAGCTTTCCTATTTGAATTTTTCCTCCTGACTCCTAGCCCATGGAATAGATGCATGAGTTATAATATGGAGATTTAGCAATTTAAGGGTTAATTTGGTATGGGTAAGAAAATGTACTTGGGTCATAATGATACCAACTGCTCATATGTAAAGAATGGGCAGTTTTGACTAGAACAGGGATTTTTACAGCTGGAAGGGATTCTATAGATCATTAATGTGTGGCTCTCTCATTTTATAGGTAATAAAGTGAAGGCCCAAAAAGATAAAGTGTGTGATGGGAGGTCCACATAGCCAAGCTGAAATTAAACTCCAGGACTCCTAGATTTCCATCCAAGATTCTTCCCACTATATCATACTGCCTTTTTGATCTAATGTGAAAATGTGCAGATAAATCTAAAGCAAAATGACAATAAAATCCTGCTCTGGCATGTCTCTTTACAAATGGGCTATCCAAGTGTGCTCTAAGGACTCCACTCTGACAGCGATGTACAGATGTCCATGCTGATGGGCAAATAAACTGAGGGAGAAAATTGCAGATTAACATGCTGCTTTTGTACATCTTTTAAACTAGAAAGATCAGGGTCTTCTACAGGTGGAAAACTTGGAAAGTAGTTTCTGATATGAAGGAAATAAATAAATACAGGTACCTCCCACTTTTCAAAAATTAGCTTTACATTACTTTGATTTTACAAAAGACCTACATTAGTACCTGTTTTTGCTAACCAAAAGAAATCTGAAGAGGATTTTTGGTCTTATGCGAAAAGGTAGAAAGAAAAAGAAAGAAAGAAAGAAAGAAAAAAAGGCTAGTTGTAAAATAAACACTGAACAGTTGTAAAATAAACACTGAACAGTGTTTATTTTACAACTAGCCTCCAAAGAGGCAGCACAACACACCTGAGCGGTGATGGCAGCATCGCCACTCTCCTTCCCTGGGAACTACACTCAGCATCTCAACATCAAGCCACCATAGCTTTGAAGTGTGTCTGTGAACATTAGGTTTCAGTGTTATTTTAAGTTTTATGTGTTATTTGGTGTGATTTGGTAGGTTATTTTTTTGGGGTCTGAGAAAGCTCAAAAAATTTTCCCATATAAATTAATGATAATTGCATCTTCACTTTACACCATTTCGGCTTACAAAGGCTTTCTTAGGAACATGCTACTTTCTGATAACACGTGAAAGCTGTAAGTAAGATGTACCTGGTGCTGAAGAACGGGCTTTAATTGACTTTTGCATATTAGAGTTTACCGATTTCCCTAATTTATTTATTTATTTTCCCCTTTCTTTCTCTATAAGTCTAAACAGAACGCTTGGGTTTATTTTTTTTCTGCATGTTCAGAGCCACATTGTCATTTCCTGTCAAATAATCTTTGGGTAAAGGGCCTTTTTCTCCTTGAAGGTTCATAATCTGCATGAACACAGCATCATCAAAACCAGGAGTTTAAATCTGCCATCCTGCTTCACTTGTATCAGCCTGTAAACATGTGTTCCGCCCACTTCAAGGCTTGTTGTAAAGAACCAGACCAAATTAGAATGTCAGATATGTTTCTGAACTTATTTAAAGTCTTTTATAGTTTGGCCTAGCCCAAGAGAAGGAAGAAAAACCATGTATACACACGAATCAAAGCGGAATGCTGATCCATCGGGAAGTCTTCTATGCAGGATAGACATCAATCTGGACCCAAAATGTACAAAAGCAAAATTTACCAGGTCATAAGGATAAGTGAACAATATGATAAAAGAAGATACAATAATCACATAATATAGTTTTTTTCTGAATTTCTTTCCTGCAACATTATCAGGCCAAACTTGGGTTAGGAGGACTTGATCCTTCTATTACCTTCATCAGACTACTTGAAGCCATCTCAGACTACAATAATTATGATGAGGATGAAGAAGAAAAAAAATGAAAACGCTAAGCCCTTTTGTACAGCAGTTTAGTTTATGATAATAAAAATCTATGCAGATATTATAATCTTCAGTTGCATTAATTGATACTCTATTGTAAGAGGCATCACCAATTGAAACCTCTCCATGGGAACTTGTTTTTAGTATCGTAGGAAGGAAAACAAATCTTTGGTTCCATTTCTGTAAAACTCTGCTAAATATCTCATTTAAACAAACCAAGTATCCAGTTTCATAAGTCATCCCTTAGTTTTATTTAGTTTTCTAGTGATCTGTTGCATTCAACTGATCATATAATGCCTGTATATGGAGCTTGAAGACCATTCCTTCCTGTCCCCTTTCTAATCTCATTGTCCCTCCTAATTCCTTCCTGCATGGAAATTCTGGTGCACCCTCTAACTTCCATGTAAACCTGTTTGCCTGTCCTTCCTACAGATCCTCCCACTATCACAGAATCCAAGAGCAATGAAGCCACCACAGGGCGACAAGCTTCACTCAAGTGTGAGGCCTCTGCAGTGCCTGCACCTGACTTTGAGTGGTACCGGGATGACACCAGGTATGTTTCAAATCTGTCATGAACAATTACTCTACCAGGTTGTCCTAGGGTTCCCACAATTCCTAATAACAAAACCTGTACTAATGCAGATCTATACTATCACCCTATTGTTCTTCCATATTTCTTTATCAAGTACATTGGGTCTATAGATCTTTAGCTAAAGCCTAAAAACCCACAGGTAAAATGCAAAAAGTGATGTACATAGTTTAGCGATTGGTTTTCCATCTCCGTGTCTTTTTTGCCTGTAGCAAAAATTCAAGCCCAATGGAACTCCTTCATTCCTGAGTCTTCTCTGTTGATGAACATTGATTCTGATAATATGGGATTGCACAAAGTCTGGAATTGAGCAGAGAACAACAAACTCTAACATCTTCCTCTCTCTCATTTTCCTCCAATGTAATTATGGGGATAGAATTACTAAGCTAAAAATGTCAACAGCATTTCTTTTTATCTTCTGTTTTTGAACTCTTAGGATAAACAGTGCCAATGGTCTCGAGATTAAAAGCACAGAGGGCCAGTCCTCCCTGACGGTGACCAATGTCACTGAGGAACACTATGGCAACTATACCTGCGTGGCTGCCAACAAGCTGGGGGTCACCAATGCCAGCCTAGTCCTTTTCAGTAAGTATGCAAAGAAGCAGGGCCCAATTCCATCGAATCAAGTTTCTTGAAATCTCATTCGGAAAACTTGAAAAATCATTCCCTTGTCTATGAAAGGTAAAATTATATACAATAAGAATATAGTCATTAAAACAAACAATCAAACAAAAAATAAAACAGCGTTATCAATCCCTTCACATAAAAAGAGATTTACAAATGGAGTAAATTTTCTCTCTATCCTGACTTATTTTTGGTGGCTGTTTTGTTTTTGGTTGTTTTGTTTAATTCCCCCCACCCCCGCCCCCAGTTGCCTAAACTGTAAGGAATTCTCACTGAACATGCACCTCTTTGGTGATGGTCTCTTTAAGAAGCAGAGGTGATGTAAGAGCCTGGAAGTGTATGGTAATTTAAAAGATGGCAGCAATGAGAGTGATTGAGGAAGAAATATTCGGTGAGAATAGATAAGGTGCTGGAAGAAAGGGAGGCTGAAAAAAGCAAGTGTATTTTTAACAACCTGAGAAGAAGTGTGGAATGACTGATTAAAACCTAATATAAATCTGGGGAGGAAAAATAGTTGCAGAAAGATTTCCATATGACAGCAGGAGACAGGATTTTCAGATACTTTTATTTGAATAGACATGGAATACCAGGAAAAAGGAACATTTCTGAAGACCAGCAAAGATTCTAAAAGCTGAATAGGGAGGGATCTATCATTTTAAGGTATTTATGTTAGTAGGAAAGGAGCTCTGGTGGTGCAGTGCCTAAGGCATTTGACTGATAACCAGAAGATTGGCGGTTCAAACCCTCCAAATGCTCCATGGAAGGAAGATGAGGCCACCTACTTCCATAAAGATTTACTGCCTTGGAAATCCAATGGGGGTCGCTGAGAGTTTTGGGGATAGTAGGAGACCTCACCTTGAAGTCTTGCTCTTTGCAACATATTACAGTCAGGCATTTGACTGCCCTGACTTTATGGTCCCATGGCTATGAATGCAGAAATAAATGCTTCTAAGAGATAGAAGTATGATGGGCGGGATCAGCAAAAAAATGATAAAAATTTGGAATAGTGGTATATTCCTATGTATAGAAATAAGTGAAACCAACAAAAGTTAACACATACTAGGCCTGAAAATTCATTTAGACCAATGTTTTGTTTGTTTGGTTTTTAATCTAAAGAATCTGCTATTATTTACTACTGTTATTACGGAATAGCAAAGCACTTGAGGTTATATATATATATATATATATATACAGATTCAATTAGAAAAATTAGAAATACTATGACTGGGAGAGATGTCTGAATCCTGCTTTATTCAGTTTAGATAAGCTTCAAGAAAAAATTGTTTAAGTGAGAGTTCTTTTGAAATATAGTAGTAAAGTTATTGAAAAACTGCTCTCAAGTTCCAACTCCACTTATAAAAACAACCACCACAAACAACTCTAAATTGGGTCTTCAGTTTCTCACTTATAACTCTCATTGACTTCAGTTTGTGACAGTTTGATAAGATTGTTGTTGTTATTATGTGCCATTGAGTCAGACTGAAATCATAGCGACCCCTCCTTGGGTTTCTGATGTGGTATCACTACGGAAGTAGATTGCCCAACCTTCCTTCCAAGGAGTGGCTGGCAGGTTTGAACCACCAGCCTTCTGGTTAGCAATCAAGTGCCTTAGGCACTACGCTACCAGAGCTATACAAATGCTGTGTCTATATGAAGTTTAAAATTCATGTCCCTGTTTACTTGTTTCCAAAGATCAAATAGCAGTGTTCTTTACTTCAACTTCTCCTTCTATATCCTCAAGACACTTGGAAGGATATTTATTAAGAACTGTAGTTGCCTGCTTCACTCCTGACATTACAGATTCCATTCAAGATTCAGACAAATCTAAGTTAACCCAGTGTTCTGGTTACCTAGTGCCGCTCTGACAGGAATATACTGCAAATGGGATGCATGAAGAAATGGGAGTTTATTCTCTTATAGTTTGGAGACTTTAAGTCCAAGTTCAAAGTGGCAGGCTCTAGGGGTTAGCTGAAAGCCCCTCAGCCTTGGGCTTCAGCTCTGCCTTCTGCTCCCGGCCCACTGAAACTAGAGGCTTTTCTTCACTCAGCTGCTGGCTGCTGAGGCTGATAAGCCCAAGGTTGACAAGTAAAAAGAGTCCCGATGTTACCAAACCACACAGCAGGCCATTAATTCAAATCCATTGAAAGTCCCAAGGTCGGGAGAGCATAGCAGGCTGTTGAACAATGACAGGGCTACATGCAGGGTTCAAGCATACTATCAACTAGAGACCATTCCCAAGGTTTCTCCTATATACAGGAAGCAGACCACATCCCTAAGGCAGCTATTCAACTGCTTGTGGTAGATCCCACCATGGAATTGATTGCCAGTCTCATCATGGGGAATACAACATCCAGCTGCCCAGCCACTCAACCAGGTCCAGCCAAGTTGACCCACAAACTTAACTACCACACCCGGTTAATTAATACATACAATTAAAAAGAAGGTTTATAGGAAATGAAAAAGACAAAACGGGACAATTGGATCAGTTAGAGAAAGTGAACGACCGTAATTTTCCATTAAAGTATATTTTCTTCCTGTCCCATCTAGATTAAGTGTGTTAAGAATATATTTCAAGTAACAAATAAAATGGAATTCAGAGACTGAGAACAAAGAAGGGAAAAGAAGAAGAAAGAGGAGAGATTTGAGAAGGAGTGAGAGATCACAGGCTGAGCCAAAGGGAGCAGAGACACTTTGGGTCTCATTTTTTTTTTTTCTTCATAAAAGTCCATGTAAAAGTAGGAGACCCTCTTTTGGAGCAGCATGGTAGTACAGTCTGGTATTTTACTCCCTGCCTTCTGAGCCCCATGGCTATAAGCAGACTCAACTGAGAAAAATTAACAAATGTCAAGAGTCTTACAGAACTTCTGTTTGTAAATGGAGAATCAAGGAGTCTAGTGGTGCAGTGGTCAAACACTTGGATACCAGCATAGAAGATAGTGGTTCAAAATCACCAAGCAGCTCTGTGGGAGAAAGACATGGTTATCTACATTTGTAAAGATTAAAGCAAAAACAAACAAACTCATTGCCATTGAGTCAATTCTGACTCATCATGACCCCTACTGGGTTCCCAAGGCTGTAAATCTTTACAGAAGCAGGCCACTTCATCCTTCTTCTGCAGAGCTGCTGGTGGGTTCAAACCACCGACATTTTGACTAGCAGAGAAATGCCTTAACCACTACACTGCCAGACCTCCTTTCTGTAAAGATTTTGTTGTTGTTGTTATGTGCCATCGAGTCGGACCTGACTCATAGCGACCCCTCCTTGGGTTTCCGAGGCAGTATCACTACGGAGGTAGATAGCCCAACCTGCCTTCCAAGGAGTGGCTGGTGGGTTTGAATGGCCAGCCTCTTGGTTAGCAGTCAGGTGCCTTAGGCACTATGCTACTACCCAGAAAACCATGTGGCAGTTCTACTTTGCCACATAGTATCTCTATGAGTCAAAAATCAACTTGAGGGCAACCAACAATAACACTTCCTAGTGGACCCACACAGCCTCTACAGAGCAGTGCATACAGGCACTAGTTCAGTGCTTTATAGTATGCAGATGAAGCACCTGCATTAGCGTTTGCTTTGGAATTGATTTACTGTTTAATAGGGAAGTTTGTAGGTTCAGAACTTAGTGAAGAATACAATAGAAAAGGCTTTAAGGTTTTAAATGAAAGGAGCTATTAAAGTTGAATAAAATTAGTGAATCTGTTGCCCTATTTCTTTGGCCCAAGGCTTAACTGTGAACATTTTAAGGAGGAAGTTCTGCTTCTTTTGTAAGAGAAATGGAACAAGCACCAACCCGGTTTGGAAGGTACAGTGTTACAGCCTGTATAGTAGGAACTTTGAGAATGAAGCTCTCTAGTAGGATGTTTTCACCCAAGCAAAAGAAGAATGAGAGGGAGAGAAATGGAAGGCAGGAAGAGAGGAAAGGAGGGAAAGACGAAGAGCAGAAGGGAGGGAAGGAGGAAGGAAGGAAGGAGAGGGAAAAGGCAAGAAAGAAAGGTGAATAGATTTTCCTTTTCTTAGATTCAGAATACAATCAGTGGGCTTAGTGGGAAGAAGGAAGATACTGTGAAAGTGTTAGTGGCTGTACTTTTCCATAGATGAAGATGGGGGTTGGGGTGCTTGGGGTCAGAAGCTGTGACTGGCTCACCCTGACAGAGAGCACAGTGTGGGAAGTGGGGTGCTCTGCTGACCAAGCCAGATCAGAGAAGACAAGACAGCTGGTAGAGCTCCTGCCAGGCTGGAGCCAGAACCCCTGAAGAGCCTATGATTATTCATCTTTATTGGTGGGTCAGCACATTTTCAGCCACATCCACTACAGTGACACGTGCTGAATTTTCACCCAGTGTCAGTTTGCGGTCACTGATACATCCTGTCCTCTGCCTCATACATACATATATTTCTCCACTCTTTATTCAAACATTGATCTCCAAAGGGGTCAAAGAAATTGAAGGAGCGAGTAACAATACATTGTATTTGTTGTAATTTTTTCCTAAGCCAATGGAAACTTCCTTTCCCATTTGTCTTATTCAAACATTTCATTTGTCAAGGATCCATACCACTCCAGCCTATATATACAAGTGATTCTCTATATTTTTTTCTCATCCCTGGGCAAAGCATTGTCTCATATAATTTTTCTGAACACACTAATCCAATAGCACAATGTGGATGGGCAATGGCTCAGTTTCTTAGTGTTTGTCAGATAGGAGAGTGTGCATCACCTAGATCAAGATTTGCATTTCTGGGGCTACCATGAGAAGATACACTCTCAGCAGATGTAACATAGAAACAGATTTCATGTTTCTACACTGATGATTGACCACAAAGGAAACCTATCTTGTTTCAGTGCTTATGCTGAATTTGTTTTAAAGCAACAGATAGGAGGGAAGAATAAGGGTGATGATACATACTAGTTCTGCTTTTTATCAAACAGCCCTTACAATGTACTATGCAGTGTGTACCGTGCTAAATCCTTCATATACATTGTATCATTTAATCATCATGACAACCCTATTTCAAACCAAAACCAAATCCACTGCCATCAAGTTGATTCAGACTCATAGCAATCCTATAAGACAGAGTGGAATTTCTCCATAGGTTTCCAAGGCTGTAATCTTTATGGAAGCAGATTACCACACCTTTCTCCCACAGAGCTGCTGATGAGTTTGAATCACTGACCTTTTGGTTGCAGCTGAGTACTTAATCACTGCAACACCAGGGGTCTGACAAATATGAAGCACTTATATTCCTGTATTATACAAAATGGTTACAAAACTATCTCAACTAAGTAAGGCTGAATTGGGATTTTAACTCAGGTAATCTATATCCGGAGTCTAGGCTATCAGCCAATGTCATCTAGATGTGGGGAAAAAATGTTAGGGGTTATATCTTTCATAGTTTCGAGGTGAGGAAACATCTCATTTCTCTCTCCTTTCTTCACTCAGTGAGATGTTTGTGCTGGCTTGTTATACTCCTTCCTACAGGATGACTGCTCCTGATGCCTCCTACTTCCATTTCCATTAATCCCCATTAGCCTAGCATCCACTAGATTAGTTAATATAGCATCCACTACATTAGTTAAACCATTGGTCTATCTTTGGCATATTCAGTTTCTGAGCTAATACTTGAGCCTAGTGCTCTAGTATTCATCTATAGGGCCAATTGTCTTTTACTTTATGGACATGTAAGGATTAATAAAATATTTTGAAGTTGTTATTGATTATAAAAGAAAAAATACAAAGAAATCTACATTTGTTCATATCATATCAGTGTATAAGAGGATTTTTAATTTTCTTTTTAATGTAAAAAATTCATTAATTTGTAAACCTATGATTGACTAAATTTCAACTATTACTGAAGCAACCCAACACTGGAGAGAGTCCTTATAATGAGGATGTCCCCCTCATTATAATAATTTTAAGTTATTATCTTGGAGGGCCAGTGTTTAAATATACACCATTTAATGATGCTAGTTGAGACTTGGTAACCATCTGCGTCTGGAAGCTACAAAATAAAACAGTTCACATTGCTATTTGAACATTATTCACACGTAGATTGAAAAACCAGCTGCAAACTGCTTATAACGATGCCCTGTGAATAGAAAAGGAAATAAATAAGGCGAACAGTGGCACTAGTTTTGGTTCAACAATGGCATCAAATTTACCAACTTCAAAGATCACTGAATCTCTGTAATACCCATTGGAAAGGAAAAGAAAAGCATATCTGAGTTGAAATTATTTATATATATATATATA